GCCAACCAGCCAGCCAGCCAACCAGCCAACCAGCAACCAGCCAACCAACCAGCCAACCAGCAACCAGCCAACCAACCAAACAAAAACATAAAGAACTGAATTGAACAACAACATATTTCAGCAATAGGGGAAAACTAAGCCAGCGTCCTGTAACTTAAGAAATAGTAATATGTTTCATATCACCTCTTGGGTTTATTATTATATTCTACTATTTATGATGATCTGATATGGTAAAGGAGGCTCACATTTTAATGTTTAGCCACCAGACATTTTTTTGGTACTATCCTTAGGAAAGGACTTCGACTTTGTTACCAAGGTCTGGTGCCATTAGAGCTTTGATCCCTTAGCTCAGTTAAATGAGACAGCTTATGATGCTTTGTGCATACCTCTTGTATCTGACTGTAGGAGGCTGCAACATTTTCATGGATCTTTGCAAGGCTGTGTGTGTGTGTGTGCAAGAGAGAGAGAGAGAAGGAGGGAGGGGGAGAGAGCGAGAGAGCAGAGACTTAGATTTTGAAAACCTATTTACCTTTCAGAGACTTTGGAGTCAGAGCGACTTCATAGGTCTGCTTTTAGATAAACCACATTTCAGCGGGTGGTGACTGCCATCTTGTATGTCTACATGTTGAATGTCTGAAGCTTTTCAGCAAATCCCTTATTGGATGCTCAGGTTAACAAGAAAACCAGAGGAAGTACTGGCAGAAATATAAAGGAAATTTATTAGCAGTAATGATGGTCAGAGAAGTTGGCCAGGAGAGAATCTTTTGTAAGGTTGAAGAGATAATTATGTTTGTAGCTTGACCCAGGAACAGTCAAACAGATATGAAAACAGGATAGACAGAAGGGGACAATTTGCTAGAGGAATTTGCAAAACCAGTAGGGATGGAATGTAGTTCTGAGAGAGGAAGCAGGCATTTTATGTTCTTAGGGACGCGGGGGGGGGCAGGAACACAAATGCAGGAACTGGGCAGAGGTGGCAGGAATGTGTACAGAGGTCACTTCTTCTTCCTTTCTCTGTGAGTAAAGGAAGTCACTAGTGGGAAACGAGCGGAGTGTAGGAGGCTGAGTTGAGAGAGAGCTGTGTCAAGTGGTCCCTCAGGAGAGGAGGAGGGTGGATGGGCGAGGGAAGAGAAGGACCACAGTGAGATTGGGAGACGTGTAATGGTTCTCAAGAAGCCGTTAGGTACGGGCCTACATCCTCCGACCTTTCAGTCCCAGGCTGAGCATTTGGCATGAATGAGCAACTACAGTGTAGATATTCTTATTTAGTCTGTTGGTCAATACATCCATTTCCCCAATCTGATTACTCACGAGTATAAATTCTCGGTCATAGGGAGTAGTATCACCTTCGATTTTACCCAAACTGCATTCCAGTTTGCATGTCTACTCATTTGCCATCTGACCAGTGATGAATGAGAGTTTCTGACTCTACAGGCATTCTTTCCAAGATTTGGTATTGTGTCCTTAAAAACAAACAAACAAAAAATTTGTGGTTGCGATATGATTGGGGGAATTATGCCTAATTTTTGTTTTCTCCTGTCTCTCTCTGTCTGTCTGTCTGCCTATCTACTTCTCTGCGCAGGCAGTGCATAGATGGTCATGCACACACATACGCCCCTGTGCGTGTGTGTGCGAGTAAATGGAGGCCAGAGCCTTACAGTGGGCATCTGCTTTCTTCTCCCGTGCGGTCTTTGAGGGGGCCTGTCCCTGAGCCTGGAGCTCACTGACCTGGGTGACTGGTCATCGCCAGGCCTTGCTCATCTCCATCCCTCACCCCTGGCGCCACAGGCATCCTCTTGCTCCCGAGAGACAAGCACTTTAGTTTGCATTTCCGTTACTAATAACATGGAGCATCTTTTATATTTATTGTCCATATGGTGCTTTTTTGAAATTTTGTGAACCTGGATCCCCTGCAGACACTAAGGGCTGTTTTTGTTGTTGTTGTTGTTTTGCATAGAACATGCCAAACACATTTATTAAAAGTACAAGTCATGGCATAATTATTCAGTAAACATTATTTTTTGAGATAACTTTCTGAGTATGTTTTACTTTTCTTATCAGTTTTATATTTACATTTTATAGACATTAAGGTTACTTTTGTTTAGAAATTTGTTTAGATGCTTATATCATATCTTACAAAGCCAGCTTCCAGCTTCTTACTGGCATTTGATAATTCAGCCTGAACGTATCTTTAGCTATATCAACTTATTTTTCTTTCAGTTTTTAAAAACTACTATTACTTATTACAATTTATTCACTTTGTATCCCGGTTGTAGCCCCCTTCCTGATTTCCCTCAAGTCGCACCCTCCCTCTCTCTTCTCCCCTTATCTCTTTCTCTTAGTCCACTGATTGGGGGAGCTCTTTTCCCCCACTATCTGACCCTACCCCAGGAGTGCCTGGACCCTCTTCCTCTGTGGGCTGGCTAGGTTGCCCCACCAGGGAGAAGTGATCAAGGAGCAGGCAACTCAGTTCATGTCAGAGACTGTCTCTTCTCCTCTTACTAGGGAACCCACATGGAGACTGAGCTGTCTGTGGGCTACATCTGAGCAGGTCATCTCTATGCATGATCTTTGGTTGATGCGTCAGTCTGTGCAGTACCCCCAGGGCCCAGATGTTTTGGCTCTGTTGGTCTCCTTGTGGGGCTCCTGTCCCTTCCTTGTTTTTGTATATCCCCCCTTCTTCCATAAGATTCCCTACACTCTGTCCAAAGTTTGGCTGTGAGTCTGCATCTGCTTCAATCCCCTGCTGGGTGGAGTCTTTTAGAGGACATCTATGGTAGGTTCCAGTCCTGTTCCCTTTCTTCTGTTTCTGGTGTCTATTCTGTTTGTCCTTTTGAATGAGGATTAAGCCTCTTCCTAAGGTTCTCATTGTTGTTTAGCTTCTTTAGGTCTGTAGATTTTAGTATGTTTATCCTATATTATATGTCTAATATCCAGTTATAAATGAGTGTGTGTCTTTCTCCTTCTGGGATATCTCACTCAGGATGATCTTTTCCAGTTCCCATCATTTGCCTGCAGTTTTCATGATTTCCTTGTTTTTAATTGTTGACTGGTATTCCATTGTGTAAATGTACCACAATTTCTGTATCCATTCCTCAGTTGAGGGACTCGGGGTTGTTTCCAGTTTCTGGCTATAACAAATAAAGCCGCTGTGAACATAGTTGAGCAAATGTCATTGTTGTATGGTTGAGCATATTTCAGGTATATGCCCAGGAGTGGTATAGCTGGATCTTGAGGAAGCACTATTCCTAGATTGTGCCAGAATGATTTCCAAAGTGGTTGTACAAGTTCACATTTCCACCAGCAATGGAGGAGGGTTCCTCTTTCTCCACATCCTCTCCAGCATTCCTTTAGCTTTTGGTTTTAGCCATTCTGGTGGTGTGAGGTGGAATCTCAGGGTTGTGCTCTTAACCGCTGAGAGGTCTCTGCAGTCCCAACGTTGTCTAACCTAAGCTTCGATCTTCCCATGAAAACCTTACAGTCAGTTTGTGCTGTTAGATAATTACTAGGATTTTAGTTGAGATTAAACTGAATCTCCAGGTGAATGTAAGAACTGACATTTGATATCAGTCTTCACATCCATGTACATGTAATATCTCTCCATTTATTCTAAAACCTTTATTTTTATTATTTACTTACTTATTTACTTATTTTTTGAGATATGGTTTAATTAGGTTACCTGGAGCTTGCTGTGTAGATCAGGCTGGCCTCAGATTCATAGAGATTAGCTTCCCCTGCCTCCCAAGTGCTTGAGCTTTTTAAAATTAAAATTCTGTAGTTTTTCTCACGAATCTTATACATATATAATACCATATAAAGTATACATTTTAATATTATTACTTATGTATTAAACACACATAAATATTTAATATATAATGAACATAAAGTGAATGTATAATATTTCATATATACATTCAGTTCCCTGGGGAGAGACTTAGAGGTTAATGTTTTGTCTGCCTGTTTTCCTGCTGGAGAACCTCTGTATTACTGTTCAGGAATTGTAGGTGCAGGGCTCAGTGACCTGATTATCCTTGGGGTGGCACTATTTACTTTCTACTCAGAGTCCTAGGGGCAGGGCAGAGGGCTGGGGTCTTCTTCCAGGCTAGCCTAGGTGGCCTAGAAGCTCAGCTTTGTTGAGTGATGGAGGATAAACACTATTTGGCTCCACTTTAACCTTATGAGCTCAGCTGATAACCCCCACCTCTGCCCAGGGCAGAGTATGGATAATCACCCAGGGTTGTTCAGTGTTTTCCTGGCATAGAGCTTTTTGTAAGTCTGGGAGCATGAGAATGTAGGAGCCCAAAGCTCTTGTAAGACACCGTTGGCCTGAACTAGGCACCAAGGGCTGAAGGAGCTTTGTTAGCCCTGCTCTCCCCTTCCAGGTTAGAGACCCGTCATTCTGAGGGTATGTCAAAGGTCAGGGTGGCCAGAAAAATGCTGGTGAGAGCCCTGATGACCCTTGTTCAGTATACTGGTGACTGTGCCTTTTCCTCCTTCCTGTGGCAGAGTGGGGATGGACTTGGGGCTTTGTGCGTGCTGGGGGGTACGGCGCAGCTGAGCTCTGTATTCCCAGCCACACCGCTGTGCCACTGGCCATCTTCGCTGCTGACATTCCTAACCAAAACTTAGCAGAGTAAGTCTTGACTGAGTATTTAATGTTGCCCTTAATGAAGTTTTATGACATCTTGCATTTCCTGAGACCTTAAAACTATTTTGTATTAATTGAAGTTATTTTACTGAGAGACTGTGGAACTCTTTGTCTTGTCACTCTGGGAATCGTCTCATTCTTTAAGCATTACCTGACATTAAAAATCCATGGCTTTAGAGACTATGTACTCACCAACTGTTTCATGCATGCTTACCACGATAATGTTTTTCAGCAGAATTGTTATAAAGTATTAATTTACATTACTATTCATCTTTATATGTTGGTTTATTCAGAGCAATTTATAATTTTGAGCATATATTTATAGTACTTTATGTAAATTTTCCTGTTTCTGAAAAATGTATTCCAGAGGAGTCATCTTTAAGTGTGTGCGTGCCTGCATGCATGTTCCTGTCCATGCTCCTGCAGCTGCCTGCGGTTGATGCATTCTTAACTGTTGGGCCGTCTCCAGGCCCTATTTGCAGTTTTTAATTACTCACACATTTTGGATGCATCTAAAGACAACCTTGAGCAAAAGAATGTAAATAGAAATAAGTACAACCCACAGGAAGGTATAGTGGAGCTGTCATTGGAAGAAAAATAGTGATGTTTTTATATAGATTGACTATTTGGTAATGTTCATCTTATGTAAATTCAGTGAGTTTTGGCTTATGGTATCTGCACTTTTGTGTGTAAATTTTAATTAAACATAAAGGCTCATTAAGGGGTCCTTATCAATTTTATAATTTTAACCCAATGTAATGTAACTAAATTCATTATATTTAACTTTTTACTTGCTTTAGCATGAAAAAATCATGGTGTCTTGGTTCTTTACTTTTAGGTGGACTGGTTTTCTACCTTCACAAGTGAAAAATTACTAAAATATGAATTATTAGGATTAAAAGTGCTATTTATATGTGCTTCTTCAAAGCACCCTGAGATACTAAGATTACACAAATATGCTTTTAAAATATTGAAGCTTAGAAAAATACTTACAAATGGTTAAAATATATGTATTTTCCTCTCATAATTCCCAGAAAAAAAATTTATATACAAAGTCAATACTTTATTTATAAAACCAGGGAAGTCTCTTTATCCTTTGTAATACATTTTTAAATTTTATTCTGTAGGACTATTTTGAAAGAAAGTGGGTTTGCCAGATACCTTCATTCAGCTGTTCTTATCAATGGAGCTATGCTTATTTTTGGAGGAAATACCCATAATGATACTTCCTTGAGTAACGGTGCAAAATGTTTTTCTGCCGATTTCCTGGCATATGACATAGGTATGTATCTGTTAGGATTGTGCAAAGAGGAAAGTACCAGAAATTTTATTAATTAGATTGACAGCATGTGTGTGTCATTGAGATCAGTTTAGCGATTGACTGTGAGTTGGGGTTTCTCTAATTTCAGCACGCTGTTCGTTCAGGGCCTAGATATCAGATGAAGTGGAGTGAGTTAGTATTAGCAGCACGAGAAGAGAAATACAGGTTTGGATGACCTTTAGAAGCTTTTGACTGTTGTGTCCTTATCTAAAAATTGCATAAGCCTCTTATGTCTTGTACTGCATTAGTTTTAATAATGGACAGATATTTAACACTATCAAACTATCAAAATTAAGACAGTAAGATTCCAAATGCTTTAGATTTAGTAGGAATGAGAAAAACATAGTTTATATAAATACACCCTATGTATGGGCTGAGTCTGGGAGGGAAGTTGGTGGAAGGGACTATGTAGGAGAGAGATAATGAAGGTGGCGATGAGATGTGCAGAGGTCCAGGCTGCACCTGTGGGTGGAGAAACCTAAAGGAGGCCTTTCGAAGAGGAGAGGAGTGGCTGTAGCATTCACTTGTTCAGTGTGCTACGTCCTGTTGATTTTGTGCGTAAGTGGATGCATTGCTTGCAAATACTCTGATCAGCGTTCCAGTACACAATGGTAGTGAAAGTGCTCCTTTCTCTGTCATGTTATTGCTAAGAGCTAGCTAACATATAAGATATAGTTAGCAGTATGTAAGAGCAGCTTTTATCAATGGTGCTAATAAAGCACTATATCAAATTCTAAGCTGTTCACTTGATATGTGAAAATAAAGGAAACTAATTAGATGAAAGACAGATTGAATCTTTAACATCAGAAAGTCACATAATCTGCTTTGATTATTTCATGTAGCCACACAGGAAAGAACAATGAACAATTAATTAATAAACACTTTGATCTTGATGCTGTTATAAGTTTGCTAGAAGAAATTGCCTTTAATAACATGAAAAAATGCTGAGTTATGGTGAGTTTATGATTATTCAGTCTTAAGTAAGGAGAATGTTACCTCTGAAGTAATAATAAAAGCAATTCCTTATGATGAGCATGGGATGGTCCCAGATTTTAGAACGTTCCTAAATTGTTGCCTGAGATCCAGAAAATATGGTTGAATGGAATTGTGAATCTGACTGGCAGTGACCAAATCTTTCTGGAAGAAAATGAAGCCTTTACTATTTGTTCCCCCATATTTCTTCTTTGAAAAATTTTTTTAAAGTAAAAGAATAGGATGTCATTGTCAGTGTTAAAAATCCACAAATGGGATTTTGAAGGTGACACTACTGAATTTTACAGTTTTTCAGTGAGCATCTACACCGTGCTTTTATTTTAAGGAACTGTGTAAGATTGAGCTTTTTGGTAAGTGATGCATTGAGGCCCTAACTTTATTTTATTCTTCCATATTATTGAGGATTTTATTTCATTTTTATGTGTCAAAAAAACTTATGGAGGTTAAGAAAAAGTTTTGTTTCAGAAAGTAACAGGCAGAGAGGTTGGATTTTGAGTGTTCTAATTAAGTGCCAGTGACTGTTAAAGGGCTGTAGGCAAAGCCTGTGGCCTTTGTAAAGGTCTGTAACATGCTGACTGGCAGGAGGGACGGGAGGGAGATCTAAAGGCCTATAGTGGCTGTTCTTGTAAGACGGATCCTTCCATCTGCTGACCACGTCCTGCTGAGCGGGCAGCTCCAACACGCCCAATGTCCCACCCAGCACCCAACAACACGGATTTAATAATGTTTAGTTCTTAATGCTGTGGACTGAGAGAAGCAAAAATCTATTTTATTTTGAAATAAAGTTATTTGGGCTGGAGGGAGAATAGCGCTGTTTAAGCAGTTTTATGTTTTAACACAGTACGTTTTTTGACCCTTGTTAGCACTGACTGCAAAGCCATAAAGGCAGCCATCAAAGTCAGTGTTGGATAAAAGTGTTTATCTATTTGATTATGATTATTTGTACGCACTTCCCAGGAAAATCCTCCCATGCTACTTGTTTTATGCTCCTCATTGGGAACATCAAATGTTGCAGTATTTTCCTGAAGAAAATGTTTCTGTATTATCTTTCACACAAAAGAAAATTCATTTCAAAGTAATTATTGTCTCTTACGAGCAAAGGCCAACACTATAGCGAACCACATAGAAGATGTATTTTAAAATCACGTTTTCCTTCTTGTGTAAGGACTGTTCTCTGTCAGGCTTAAATGAAATGCATCTGAGATGCACATTACTTTAAACAAAATGATGCCAATACTAATTTTTCTTCTTCTAAAATTTGCAATTTCAGTCTGGAATTCTTAGGAACATTGTTGGGGAAATCAAAACAGAAGGAAACCAGGCATATTAGAGATTAGTCACTAGACATCTGTATTTTCAGGGAGTGACTGGGGGTAGCTCAGTGGTTAGAGAACATGCGTTACAGATGACTCCAGTCCCAGCACCAGGGCTGGGGCCTCACAGCTGCTTGTGCCTCAGCTCTGGGGACCGGGCACCTCCGTGTCCTCGACGGGCACCCGTCGGGGAGGGTTGTCAGGAGGAGTGAAGGCCCCACGTTTGTGTCCATGTCCTGTCGGGTGGTTCACATCTGCTTGTAATTCCTGTTCCATCTTCTCCAGCTTCCACGGGCACTGGAACTCATGCATGTGTCTTCATACATGGTAATAACAGACCTAAATAAATAAGTGACTGAACTGTAGCTACCGAGAGAGCCAGAGCTGGCGAGTGACACTCTGCCAACTGTGGCACGCAGCAGCCCACATTACCCAATATTTACTTGCAAACCTCATGTGAAGCCAGATTTTAGAACCTGAAACTTGTATTTGTCCTTTTGCTAATGTTAGTGGCGGTGTGGCCTTCAGAGAGCTGCAGGGCACCTTTTCTCAGGATTAACGTTATATTTTTCCTGGTAAGAATAGATCCCTGTTCAAAATTTACATGAAAGCCTAAAACAAAATGAAAATAGTAATTAATTTTGTTAGGTTCATATTGGAGAGGTGAAGGTGAAGGCGGAGGAGCGGGATCTCTCTGACAGTGTCTTGCACACAGCAAGAAATGGAAGCTCCGTGTCTCATTTAGCTAGTGGTGGTTCCAAGACAGTTCCAGGAACAGGATGGTTTCACTTATGGCATTTATTTCTTGGTAGTGATTTCATAAAAATGAAAAATAACTCTAGATTTTCATCAGTAATGTTCTAATTGATAGTGATAAAATAATGATGCATATTTTAATTGTTTTATTATACAGCAGGGTTAAAACATCATTTACCCAGTTTATGAAGCATAACATACATGATTTTACAACCCTGTGAAGGGTTATATATGAATCATGTAGAAAGGATGCAGCCCCATAAGCCCTAACTTCATGATATAATCATATGCAAATTAAGTAATCCAATTACTTTATTGAACATTTGGACAAAGTTCTGAAAATTCCAGTTGGCTTCCTCTTTGTGTTTAAATTTGTTTTCATTTTCTGGAGGTGTTATTAGTCATTGTTTTCTAATTATTTTTACTGTATTTTCACGTTTGTTTGTTTTTTTGTTTATTTATTTTTTCATGAAAGAACACATTTGCTGAGGCAGCCACCTGAAAGAGCCAGTTCATTAATTTGTGGGTCAAGAAAACCCTTGAAACCTTTCACAGCTCCTCTTGTCCTGAATCAACCAACATCTCTCGTTTTGTTTGTTTGTTTGTTTGTTTTGTTTTGTTTTTTAAGTTGTCTTGCCTCCTTGGCTGGAGTGTAATCTTCCCTTTGGTATTTGTAAGGGGAATAATAGTTGCTGTAGCTGCCTGCTGTTTCTTCCCCTGCCTTCCCTTCCACCCGCCCTCTTCTTTAAAATAAAGGAGAGACCATGTTCCATTCAGTTTGTTCAGGTGCACAGGAGCTTTGCCTGACACGGCTGTACTGCTTGGCTTCCCACGTGCTCTACAGCGCAAGCCATATTACAGTGCACAGCTACAGAGGAGTCTTGGAGAGCAGGCAGCTCACTGTCATTAGACCCAGTCACACGGTTACAAAATGCTGTCTTTAGAATCTGAAGTAAAGTCTTAATTCAGAGATTTTTATTCCACCACTGCAGGGCCCTATTTTACACCCCCACCACCTAACTGGAAAAATTTGAACAGTGTTTTAGTTGGGGAGAGGGCGTATACCAGCAGTCATGCTGTCGGTGGATTCTATTACACTATTTATGGTACATTTGCATTTCACTGGGCCTTACAAATTCACCAGGAGGTAGTGAACCCAAGACAGAAAGTCAAGGAGAGAAATAACTATGCTTGAACAGTGATCCCCACTTCTCCTAACTTCTGCAAGCATTTTAAGACCCTGGCTGTGTTTGCCTGTGGGTACTTTTGTTTGTTTGATTTTGAGAATGTTCTAACTGTTCAGGCTGTCTTGAGTGCTGTCGGAAGCACAGGCTGCTCTCAAACTCACAGTGACCTTGTCACAGGACCCGGCTGCTTGTGTGACACTGAGGCCCACTATTCCTGGCCAGAGATACTTCAACTATGGAAACTACAAAGGAAGTGTTTTAGAATGAGTGCACATGCCAGGAGGAGTATTTGCAAAGATCGTGGTGGATGCAGATGGGGAGGCAGCAGGAGCAGAGGCAGGCATTTCACTCAGAGCACTAGCAATGGAATCAGTGCTGTTTCAAAAAACAAAATATCGGGCTTATTCTAAAAGTGGGGTTATGATATCATGAAACTTACAAGTATAACTTCCTAAATGAAGGCCGTTGAAGCCAACGGGATACTGTTTTATGTTAAACCACCATGAAATCATCTCAGGTTCAGGAGACAAGCCGTCAGCCCACTTTGACCAACAGAGAACAAAATCCCAAGAAGTTAGAGTTGAGATCACCAAGGCAACACAGTGGTGTACTTACAACCTTAAGGAAGTTTTGAGTTCTAAAGGTATATACAAACCTTATTTGATCACCAGCAATTGTAAGGTAGGTAGAAAAACCTTTGGCAGCAGTAAGAAATTATTTTTCCATTACAACAATACTAAAGAGGTTAATTTATTTATTTACTTTTGCCTTGTTTCAACCCTCACGTATACAGTCTGTTGGTTCATTTTCTCAGATTTCCACCAACTCCTAAAACTGACATAGTGCAGAGCACTTAAAGTGACTGTGACTTCTTTCTTGTGTGTGAGCATTTTGCCTGAGTGTGTGTCTGTGCACCCCTCATGTGCCTGGTGCCTGCAGAGGCCAGGAGAGGCTGTTTGGATGCCCTGGGATGGGTTTTCCGTTGGGAGCTGCCTTGTGGATGTTGGGAATCGAAGCAGGCCCCTTTAGAGGAGCAGCTGGCGGTCAAACGCCGAGCCTCTCTCCAGAGCTGTGAAATGGTCTGAACTGTTCAGAGCATTAACAGAATCCCTATGGAATTACAGACGCGTGCTTTCATGGACACCATGAGAATTTGTAGAAAAAATAGCCAACAAATGCATTCTTACCTGGATTACTTTCTGCATAATCACTAAATTAAACTAATATCAGAACTTCAGCTCAAGCTCTTCAAATAACTATATATATTCTCGTTGATAAATAGTTCTGATGGTGCACTATGTTAAAATTTGAGCTCAAGACCAGAAACTCGTGTGTTTTTTTTCCCATCTGTGTGTTTAATGTTTGATTTGTACACTAAATACCTTGCAGCAGAGGGTTTAAAATGCGTTCTGAAGAATGTATTTTACTCTTTTTACTGTGGGTTGTATTTATCTCAGTTTAAACGATATAATTTCTGTGTTGAATTTACTTTGAATTGTCTAGGCTTGAACTGATTATAAAGTGATAATAACTGGGCTGTTCCAAAATTGTTTTTTCTTCTTGGCAGAAAATATAATTTTAGATTACAGCCAAAGAGAATAGCAATATAAGAGACTTGATAGTGGCAGAATCAGAGTGTGCTGCATGAAAACACTTTATTAACTCAGTGCTGATTGATAATACATCCGGCTTGTACTTGTACATTTGTCAGGCTGGAGAATTTGCACTTTTTCTTCTTCTTATCTGGGCTCACCGTGCTGCTGCAGTCGTGCCCTGGACTCGGGAGTGCTGGGGCGGCCATGCTGGGTGACTGAGGGCGGAGCTACCTGCTTATGCGTCCCTACTGGTGCTGCTGCAGTCCCTATAGAACAGACTGATGTGAGGTCACGTGACAGTCTCTGTGCAAATGTAACTTCCCCTGCTGACACCTGGCTGTGGGCTTGTGCGTCCAGTGTATTGTGCTTCTCACATGAGCCTGTCACAAATTCCACTTGCTCCTCTTTTCCACGGGGATGTCACCAGTGGCTGGGGTGGTGGCTGGGCCACGTAACCAGGGCTTCGTGAGGCACAGCAGATCTGTCTTCTACCCGGCCCTTCAGTCAGAGCTCACGATTCCCAGCTGTTGAATCTGCAGCTTTCAGAGTTGAGAGAAACGCCGTGTGGCGGCGGTGCTAGAATGGCTTCTTCCTTATTGGAATTCTACTAAGAACACATATTGTTCTTGGCCACTGGACCCTTACATAGTTTAACAATAGGAGAGTATGAATTTTTGTGCATTTTATCTTTCATCTTTTGGAGCATACCTGTCTCAATAAGGTCTCCATTGCATTAATTATTCTTGATATTCTGGTCCTATTAGCATGTGTGAAAACAGTGTGATGTGCTTTCATTGTATTGGAATACTACAATCCATGTACAGTTTATGAATAATTAGCAGTATAAATTATGTGTATTTGAGTTGTGTAAGGATTGACACATAACTACCTGATCTCCTCAGTGGAGGCTAACATTTCCCGTTGGTTTTTTGACTCAGAGCTTGTACTGTTGTAGGTTAACCCCCTCCAAGAAAAGAATAATGTCTCAAAATCCTTTTAACAGGTGATTTCAAGTACTCACAAGCCTAATTATAAAAAGACAAGTGTTGTCAAATGAATCTCAAGCATGTTGTTTAAGTTCCAGTAGATCTAATTCTTCATTTCTAACACTGGGCAGTTTGTTAGTGAACCTCACTGAATTCTTGTGAAGACATTTAAGTTATATAAACAAACATCACATAGAGAGGGATTTTATACTAATTTTATGTCAGCAAATACACATTATGCACAATCCTTTTCTTTTTCTTTCTTTTGGTTTCTGAAGACAAGGTTTTTCAGTGTGGCCCTGGCTGTCCTGGAACTCACTCTGTGGACCAGGCTGGCCTTGAACTCAGAGATCCACCTGCCTCTGCCTCCCGAGTGCTGGGATTAAAGGCGTGTGTCACCGTCGTCCAACTATGCACTCTTCTTAAATGAAATGTAATATAAAATCGGCAGTCTGTGACCGTGCACAGATTTGAAAAGTGTAACAGACAGGAGTGGGCTGATGTCTTAGTAGGTCCTGCTTCCGGTGTAAGCCGAGGACCTGGTTTGAATCCCCTGTGTGTGAAAGCTCACAGGGCAGAACATCTGTGACCTCGGTGTGGCTGATTTGAGATGGGAGGTGGAGACAGGAGAATCTGCAGAGCCCCGGCCAGCTTCCCTAGCACACGCAGCATGTCACACGCACGCACAAACACGCATACGCACACACCAGTGTGCGCACCCCTGCCTTCCAACACGACATGTTTAGGAAGTTGAACAGGAGTAAAGCCAGCCTAGCTTGTGCCTCGGTGATGCGCACCGAGTCATTTGAGGTCTTAAACTGTGTTCACACGGTGGATTTTCTTCAGTTTTCATTTTTCTGAGAATTTTATTTACAAAAACTGAATTTGCATCATTCTTCTCTCCTTCTCCCTCCAACTCCTGTTTCTCCCCATGTTTTTTTAAAAAAAGTTTTTAAATCTAGTTTTTGTATAATTGAAGTATTCCTTTCAACCCAAATAAAAGCTATTTTCTTAAAAAGCTATTATAACATTAAAGCTACTTAAATATTATATTCCAGTGATTCTGTTCTGTCACTCTGTCAGCGGACACTATATCGCGTTTACTTTTATGTGCATGCGGTAACACGTGATGGAGTTTGCACGTGTGCTCCACGGTGACACTCACGGTTGTTACCATGCAAATGTCGGTGTTTGCAGTAAAGACAAGTCAATGGAATTGTCTCCAAACACAAATGATACTTAATTTCATTCATTTATTTATTAAGTCTAGTATACTTAAAGTTATTGGTGAGAATTTTACGGAAGAGTTATTTTTATTTGAAGTCTATGGTAATTCATCAGTGATACCAAATTGTAGGTAATGAAAATTAATCATCCTTTTTTCTGATTTTGAATATTATATGTTGTTGGCGATAAATTGGTAGTATTTAGCCCTATAATTGTTATGGCAGTATTGTCTTACCCACTATCATAGTCGATAAACACAGACCCCTGTTAGATTTTATAAATGCTGTAACACCTTGGTCTGAGCAGATACTCCCCTCCGCGTCTCAGTACCTCAGCATCACCTCCCAGCCCCAGCCGCCGCCATCCTCTACACTGTTCCTGTCTGGGCTTCCCTATCCACAGCCTTATAAATACTTGCTGGTATTTTTCACCTTGCTGTTTCTCTGCACGATATTCCTGGAGTCCTTACTCCTGGCCCACTTGGTTCTTTCCATGCTAACCCATCCTGGAGTCCTCTTCTCACCTCTCTTCCTGGCTGCCTCTCTCCTTCCCATGATTCTCCTGTTCCCAAAGCCTGAGACCCTTAGCCATGCCTACCTCCTTCTCCCCTGCCCAGGTAAAGGCCTTTTTTATTAAGCAACCAGGAATAATGCCTTAGGCAGGTTTATACAAGGACAGGGCAATAAACAGATCTTGAGGGCCAGTAATTAACAACAAAATACAAGCATCAGACTAACCTCCAACAATTATCTCTCTAATTTAGTATCATCAGTAATTATTTTATATGACTTCTTGAATTTCTTAAAAATTTTATTTCTTTCCTTTCTTTTTTTTTCTAGCTTGTGATGAATGGAAAACATTACCTAAACCAAATCTTCATAGAGATGTCAACAGATTTGGACATTCCGCAGTGGTCATCAATGGGTAAAGGAACACACTTACCATTTCAGAGGTTAACAGCAGCTGGCTGTGCATCTTCACACGCTCTGAACTTCCCGACACTAACTGTTGACTATTAATGACAGTGAAGTTTACACCCATAATCTTTTTCTGAATACATCACACTTACCGTGTCCTCCACTGTTCGGGCACTGAGCTAAGGCTGAACATTTCTGGTGAGGTCACTGTGTCTTCTTGGTTTCTCTTAATGACTCTGAGGTGATCTAAGCGAGACATAAGACTAGCCCCCGCTCTACCCCACAAGAAAGTGAGAATCGGATTCTCACTGTAGTTCTGCAGTTAACTTTATGTGTGAGTTTTCATGTCCTCCTTTCAAGACCTCCCAAGACTTCAGAACCTTCAGATCTTCTGGAAATTGGAGAATAGGATTAAATCACAGTCTCTTAAGTTTCTCTCTATATATTATATGATTTATATATTACATATATATATTTAGTTTTATTTGTTTTTGATTCTTATTTTGCAGTCTAGCTCTACTTCAAGTATGTAATCCATGCAAGCATTGAACTCATGATAATCCTCCTGTTTCAGCCTCTAGAGTGTTGGGATTATAAGCATGAAACACCGTACCCAGAAGTTTGTATGATTTTGTTTCAATAACAAGAATTTGTTACTTCTGATCTGCACATGTAAAAGTTTACAGCTTCTCAGCAGTTTCAGATGCTTAATTCAGAATGCTGCTTTTATGCGGTCATTGTTGCCTTATGCCAGTTACAGACAGCTCTCCTCCTATTGCCGTACCCTGGACTGTTACCCACAGCTTCACGGCTGGCATGAGCTGACTTTAACAATAGCAGTGAGGGAGAGTTGTGTAAGTCCAAGACCCCCCCCCCCAAGCTTAATTCTGAAAAATAAGGCTTGACTTTGATTTTCCTTGTTTAAGAATAAAAACGAGTAAGTGGCCAGGTGCTATCGTGCTTGGGATAGCCTGGTCTACAAAGTGAGTCTAGGACAGTCGAGACTACACAGAGAAACCCAGTCTCAAAAAACAGCAACAACAACAAACAAACATAAAAACTAACCAAACAAAAAAGTATAAATGAAGGATTTTCGGACCAGTTTTGTGTTTTATGTCAATAATAGTCTTATAGAGAAGAATTGTGTTGCTTTGAGGGCAGGCAAGCATTGCCATTGTCAGTACTGGACTTTCGTGTTGGGAGGCTGCCATTACAGAACTAGGCATGTGGACGCTGGTATGACACTTCGCTTGATTTTAGTTAGTTAGTTATTTTTTATAAGAAATACTGATCTCAGAGTCCGGCCTCTAACTCCGTGTCTGCTCTGAGTGGCAGTTCCAGGCTACTAAAGGATGCATGCCTTTCACCCCAAACAGAAGAATCGTGAGTTCAAGGCCCGGAAGGGGTACCGGGTCTAAGCTGACCAAGCATATGTTTTGGGACTTTTGTCAAACCCAGCACACCGAGACAAAACAAACATCATCACCAAACAAAATCTCCAAACCAACATAGAAAAAGTGGTCAATCTAGATAGTAATTCTAAAGTGTGTCTTAACATCTACATATTACTATAACACAATCAAATAATTGTATATAGTTTTCTTGTCTTTCTTACAAAGATTCTTTCCTACGTTATTAAGATGGTAGTACCTTTTTTGATTAAAGGAATTTTACATTCTTGTTCCTTTTCTTGCATTAGTAATATGTCTGGAAATTTAATGTTTCCATAAAACATTAAGATCTACACTATATTTCAGGTTTCATCCAAAAAAAATCATTAAGAAAAATCTTGTTATAGTTAATCTGGGCTTTTCACATCATACTGTATGTTAGAAATATGATTCTAAAGAAAAAAATGGACACAAGCACAGACATTTAAAATGTTAAAATGTGCAATTAAGTCTGGTTATTCTTTAGACTGATTCATTAGGCCACTTGGTCTTTATCTGCTAAGACGCGCTCTTTCTCATTTTTGAATAGGTCAATGTATATATTTGGTGGATTTTCTAGCATACTCCTTAATGATATTCTTGTATACAAGCCTCCAAGTTGCAAAGCTTTCCGAGACGAAGAGCTCTGTGGAAATGCTGGCCCAGGGGTAAAATGTGTTTGGAATAAGAGTCAGTGTGAACCTTGGGAGCCTGGGAATGCAAATAGTATTCTCAGAGCCAAGTGCCCTCCCAAGACAGGTGAGGTGTCACCCTTTCCTTCTGGCTTAAAGCTTTCTGTTTATTTAGAAGTAGATCGATTTTGCTTTGGGAAGTTCCTTCTTTTAGAAATTAAGAATGTCTTCTAACTATGGAGTCTGATATTTGAACTAGACCACAGTTAATCACATATTTTCTTTGTTTTAGTTCTGCAGGCTGTATGGAAATGTTTTATGTGCAATGTTAATTATTTTATAGTACATGTTAAATTATTTCTAAATATATCATTTCTCAGAAATATTGTTTACTTTAAAGAAATAAAAGTTTACAGTTGCTGTTTTCTTCTTGGTTGCAAAGCCACATTATACAATTAATTTTCCTTTTTTGAAATAAAAATCATTTCGTTGTAATGAATTCACAAACAATATCGTAGAGCAGGATTAACATGTGGCCACCCAAATTCTGTACATTCCATGGCCATTGTGAAACCATGAAGCTTTTTTGGGGGCTTTTAATATTCTATTATGATGTGTTGAATAAATATTAGAATTATGAAAATGAAGTTAGTATTTTTATTCATGATTTGTACATATTTCAGCTAGATGATGGCTTTAGTAGATCTTCTTGCTGAAATTAATGAACATTTTCAGATCTCCCTCTCTATATGGCATTGGGCCTCTAAATATCTGTAGAGTCATTAAATTCAGAGACTTGTTATTGTATTTTATTTGGGTCTGTTTCCCTGGTAAGTTTCTTTATTCTTTGTAAATGAGTAAATTTAAAATATGTTCTGTGAATATGAACTACAAGGTTGGCTTAATACTAAAGAACTTATTTTGCTACTGATTGTGTGTGTGTGTGTACGTTAGTGATCTTTAAGTAGATAGCTATAAGTGTGTGAATTGGGAATCACGACAGCTTCCTTTGCAGGCTGACAGGCTTCCTCTCCCGTTTGTGTTGCAGCTGCTTCTGATGACAGATGCCACAGATACGCCGACTGTGCCAGCTGCACCGCCAATACCAACGGCTGTCAGTGGTGTGACGGCAAGAAGTGCATCTCTGCAAGCAGTAACTGCAGCCTGGTTAGTATTTGAGGTGGCGTCGCCAGCCTGCTGCTGTGCCACTCGCTTACCGCGTGTGCACAAGGGAGAAAGAAGACTTTTCATGGACAGGTAGACACTGTGCCGGGATCTGGCCATGCATGGTGACGCACGCCTTTAGTTCAAGCGCTGAGGCAGAGGCAGGCGGGTCTCCGAGAGTTCAGGGCTGCATAGTGAGTTCCAGCCCGGGCTATACAGAGAGGTTCTGGAGACCCCTCTGCCTTCAAAGAGTGAACTCTGTAGGGAGCGTGCACACCTCGGCACGTCGTGGCTACACTGATCTGTGCACCTGTGTGTAGCTCTGGACCGGCACTGTGGCTGTGCACCTGCCTGGACGTGCTGCTGGCTTCTGCTTTGTAGCTTGTAACTTTTTCATGTGTCTCACGAGCGAGGCGGACGGCTTTCAGTGCTTACAGCGTGAACTCTCCGTGTCTAATGCCCCCGATGGCGTCAGCGCTCTGTGGCTAGCTGCTGCTCACCTCGTGGATCCTGTCAGACATGCAGCAGCTGTGGTGGTGTGGGCCTGCTGAGTGCACCCTTGGTTTTTAGACTTCACAGCAATATTGACAGCCCCTGTGCTTCTTTTATGTCTCTTCAGATCACTTGTTCTCAGCTGAAGGCAATTTTGCTTTGCAGATGACCTTTAGCAATAATTTTGATTATCACAATTGTGGGGCTGCTTTTCACATTTAGGATGCAGAGGCTCAACACTCATAATACACTCATAACCACCAATACACTCAGCAGCCTTCCACAACCAGTGATTTTCTGGCTTCAAATATCAGTATCGTTGAACTTTAGATGAGCAAACACTATTGAAAAAATTATAAGTTTAGTATTTATGGTTTTAAAAAGTGAAAATTTATCCTACATCATGTTAAAATGTTCTTTAATAACCAGTGATATTTCAGCATATTAAAGTCGTAGGAGTTTCATTATGAAATAGTAAAGCAGAGAGGAAAATTTAGGTATTGCTTCAGGACAGTGAATCCTTTGTAATATTTTATTATAATTTTCAGTTACATAAGTTGATTTACTAACAAGATACACTAAAGATCTATTATTAACATTGGATGACATGTTTGTACTTAGAAATTTTAAGTTATGTTTTTAGATATGTGCTATTCACACAAAGGAAATTAATTTTTTCAAAATAAAGTAAATTAAGTAAACTAAGACACAGGCTCCATCACTGAGACCATCACCTCCCCAGTGTCCTCTCCTACATGTGAATTTGGGGGACAAAAAAGTTAGCCCATAGATGTTCAAATTTGTGCATATGTATTGTTTAGAGAACTATGCTGAGCAGCCACACTGTGCCATTGTTCTCAAGCGTCCCTGTAAGATGCATTCTCTGCTTTATCTTCCTCTCGGTGGCGTGCTGCCAGGACTGGCTTGGATGACAGTGTGAGCAAGCAGGTGGCATGCTCCTATAATTTAGAATTCCATTGTAATACATTTTTTAGGCAGTTTCATCAGAGTGTCTGGTGATTAAGCTAAGCTGAATGCTAGTGGCTACCTGAAACTGTGCAGTGATCTCCCACCTCATTATTTAGCCATATTTATTGCAAGTTGCATATTTGTGCTCTAATGGGTCAGAAATATGTTGCTTCTCATGGATTTACATTTTGAGTTTATGACTAACTAGATCAGATATTGGAACAGTTATGGTTGCTCCTCACTGCCTGCTTGCTGATGTGCCTCTGTTCATCAGGAAAACAATGCTAGCTGTGATTCAGTGCCCTGTTCAGCTTTATTCTGATTTCCTCGGTGATGTATTGATTAAAATAGAATTTCATCTCCTGTTGATGTTCTCATTCATGCCTGGGCTGTTAGAAGGGCTCTGACATAACTATTGTTCTGAGAGTTTGCACAGAGCTTCTTTTTTTTTCTTTCTGCCAACATGTTTATTCATTCCTTTGTCATTTTCATAGATTTATATATTCAATAGTTAAAGTAAATTCATTCCTTTTCAGTTAGTTGGCGAGAGCTTTAAATTCTCTTCTAATGATTATATAGAAGAATAATAGAATTTATGTGCTATATGAAAACAAAATACTTTGAGTAAGAAAACTTGACATTAAGGTAGTTCATATGTTCCTGGAGGAGATGTGATGGTTGAGTAAGTCAGAACTGAAATTTACAAAAATGTGCCTGAAATTTTTTAAGGATGAACAAGTTAAACCTTAAACGTGAGTACAGTTTATCCGCTCTCATGTAATAAGTGTAATTAATATTTGGCTCAGGAGATGGCTTACTGGGTAAATGTGAGGACTTCCATGAATCCCAAGAACTTATGTAAAGGCAAGCGAAGTCAGACAGGACAGTATGCAGCTTTAATCCCAGGGCTGCTAGGGTTAGGGCAGGCGAGACAGGAGACGTCCTGAAAGCACGCAGGGGCAGCTAGTTTGCTGTAGACAACTGGTGGATGTCGGCCGTAGGTGCCGCGGGAGAGAGAAGCTCACCAAGATGCCAGGCCTTCACTTTCCGAAGGAGCAGAGGGGCTCAGCCTTCTCGGAAAAGACTGACAGCCAGCTAGCTCGCTCAGCTCTTCTGCTCAAACATCCACAAGGGTAACTGGGGCTGGGCAAGGCTCCAGCTACCACAGCAACTTGCTGCCCCTGAGAGCAGACCACACAGGTCTCAGGCCCCTTGACCAGGCTAGCCACACTCAAAGTGAGAACTCCAGGCTTGCCAGGAGTGTCTTAGGACCAAGGCTGGCACAGCTCCAACTCTCATGTAGCACCGAATACAGGCTCTCCAGAGAGACAACATTTCTTCAAGGTTCAAACATCCTCAAAACAATTTCCTGTCTCTACTGATTGACCCAGACATAAAGACTTCACTTTAGGTATTGCTGTGTGAACTACACAGTGAACTACACAGATATTCTGCCTTAAAGAAAGTACATTTAAGGGCAGGACCTGGGTTTGTCCTGTGACCACAACACACACACTACTGCTGTACAACAGAACTCACACATACATATATACATATGCGTACACACATACACACTTATACATATGCACAAAAATAAGTTAATGCTTTGTCTTGGAAATGACTTGTGCATTTCAAATACATATTTACTTGTGCTGGTTGGTTTTGTGTTAACACAAACTAGTGTCATTTTGGAAGAGGGAACCTCAAATGAGAAAGGGTCCTCACTGGTCTAGCTGGTGCGTAAGCCTGCGGTACGTTTTCCTGATTGACAATTGATGTGGGAAGGCCCAGCTCAGTGTAGGTGTCACCACCCTGGGATTACTGTCCTGGGGTAAAAAAGCAGGCCAGCAAGCCACGAGGAACAAGCCAGTAAGCAGTGTTGCGCCATGGCCTCTGGCAGTTCCTGCCTCCAGCTTCCTGCCCTGAAGCCCTTCAATGGTGGGCTGTGGTGGGGACGTGCAAGCTGAAATAAGCCCTTTCTTCCCCAAGTCTCTTTTGGCCATGGTGTTTTGTCAAAGGAGTAGAAACCTTAACTAAAGTGTGTGTGTTCAGGGGATTGAACTCAGGTCGTCAGGCTTTGTACAAGCACCTGTGCCTGCTGATCCATCTCACTTGCCTGTAGTGCATCATACAAAGGAAGTATAATATCTTATTAGTAAATATTTGGTGGATGGTTGTTGCCATAGATAATATGATATAGGAGGACCTTAATTTTAATGTGTATTTATCTATCCTATAGAAGAAAGTCTGATATAAGCAATTCTCTTTGTAGACACTAACAAGACTGGTGTGTGTTGCTCAAAATGCACAATTAAGGTTTTTTTCCGATCTTTTTCTGATATATGCATTTAGTGACTGAGTGTCTCAAGCCCCAGTTTTAAAGTCTGTATTCATGATATAGTTTTTAATTGTTCATAGTGGCAATTTTCTGTGAAGTAACTGAACCTAGGTGGATGTAAGATCTGATACAAGGGTGGCTATATGGCTCTTTCTTTATTGACCCTCAGCCTGTAACCTTTTTCATTGCCAGAATTAGTTGAAATATGGTTTTGTGATATAGTAAAATTGAAAACAATGTAAGATTGCTGTTTTTTTGTAACCTCTATGAAGAAAGAATAACACACAGAGAGACATCAAGTAGTTAAACCCATTGTTAATTTGATTATTCTAAAAATAATTTTCCTTTTCATATTGTAGTAGAAGGTGAAACTATTTTACTACTTATTTCAACTTCATTTTCATGATAGTTTCATTGGACTAGAACTCTCTCATGTTGTTATTAAAAATGAATTCATGCACTCACTTAATTAGAAATTTGTTTTCCGATTCCCTAACAGGCTCTCATTAGTTTCTGTTTCAAATTTCAAATTATGTAATTTTCTTGGTATCTCCAATTTTAGAAATTTATTATTAGTCTAGGAACAATAGTTTACCATCTTAAATGGAAAGAAAATGTAGGCAAACAAAATTCAGTAGAATTTAGTTATACAAAGAACACGACAGCACTGTGAACCATCAGGAATTCAGAAAACTCCCCCTTCTTGCCCTGAGACATGACAAAAGACGAATAAGCCAAACAAACAAACAGCCAGAGCAACAACAAAAATGCAGGTGCTACAAGGAGAAACAGCTCAGCTGGTTGCCGGTGGTGTTCCCTTGTGTGAGCATGGTCTTACCATCGGCGTGCTGTGCTTGGAGAAGCTTGCTTCTCTGGTTGCCTTTGACTTAATGTCTGTTAAAGAATGTTCTCATCATTTGGATTGATTACACACTAAGTTTCATTGCAGTTTGCTATGTAGGATAGTAGATTAAGCCAAATTTAATTCAACAAAATAATGCAATAATTAAGACAAACTATGATTTGATAGAATTGGTTTTGGATAGAAAGCATATTTTAAAGTTCCACAGGGGCTTAGGAATTTGTGATGTCTAAAGATCCTTGTTTGTTCAATTGTGAAAAATAACATGTTTTGTCTTTCAATTTTTTAGTCTGTCAGAAACTACACCAAATGTCATATAAGAAACGAGCAGATTTGTAACAAGCTTACAAGCTGTAAAAGCTGTTCACTGAACTTGAATTGCCAGTGGGATCAACGGCAGCAAGAATGCCAGGCTTTGCCAGGTAAAGGTTTCACGAGTTGATAAATGAGTGCTTTACTCTACAGACTCATGGGATTCTAGCCTCATCTGTGGGTCTAACAAAAAGCTATCTGGAGTCAGATTAGCAGAATAGCAGTCAGTTTCCCCTGGAACCTGTGGGCTGTCTCGGGTCTATGGCCTGTTCTTGGACAGTATGGTACCACGTGTGGTTCTGTCTCATGGAGCAGGATACAGATCCAATCGGGAAGTAACTGGTTATTCCTGTGACTTTTATGGCCACTGTTGCCAGTGGCCTCTTGATGGGCCAGTTATCACTGTTCCTCAGAAGAGTCACAGTTGGGTATGATTGATGGCTGCTTTTCTCTCCTGACAGCATGTTCCGGAGCTATGTGCAATGAAAGCCAGCCAGTAGGGACGGCTTCTCCACACTGATGTGACTCAGGGCTGTGGCATCGTCAGCAGGGGGGTCTGGCTGTCGGTTCTGGAGCACAGTGAGGAGAAATTGCAATAGCCTGTAACTGTTCGGGGTTCTGTGGGACCTCACTGGCCAATGACTGCAAAAGAAGTAACCATTTCTGACACTGAGCTTTTTTGATGGGCCCAACAGGTTATATTTATTGATATATACGTATATAAAAATACATATGTATGCAATAACAACTAAGGGAAGAGGCTACAAGTCTGACGGTGAATTGGGACGAGTATATTAGAGGGTTGGGAAGGAGCAAAGGGAACAAATAAGTAAAGGAAATAAATTTTACAAATAAATTACAAGGTAACTCGAAACTATTGTAAAGAACACTAGTTCCAGTGATATAATAAAATAACTAGCGATATAATAAAATAACTAGCGATAAAAGGTAGCACAGTCTAAATACATCTTGCTTTTTAGGTAGCTTAAAGATAATCACTTGAAAATTATAACAATCATTGAAATAAGTGATATCTGACATAATGTGGTAGAAAAGCACAAGGGAAGCCAGTGGTCTGGAAGAAGGAAATGTCAATCAGCGAACCATGGTTGTAATTCACACCTCCACCATGTAGACCACACAATGATGTGCAGATTTACACAGACAATAAAAGTCGACCTTTGCTCCTTTGCTCCTGGTTGTTGCTTTTTAAAAGTTTCAAATCATTATTTTCCAGACGAACTTAAAATTAAGAAAAAAGTGGCAAAGTAGTAGACTCACTATGTTCCATTAACCAATTTTCTTTATTAATACATGTTTTGCATTTCCTTTTCTAATTATTTATTTATTCACTTTATATCCAGATTGTAGCCCCCTCCCTCCACTCCTGCTTGTCCTGTCTTCCCTCCCTCTGCCCCCTCTCCTGCTCCTCAAATAAAGGGAGCCCCCCACCCACTCACCCCTGTCAGCTCATTAAGTCACATAAGGACTGAGCACTGGACCTGCTTCCTCTTCGGTCTGGCAAGGCAGCCCCTCCAGGGGGTAGCGATCAGACAGCGACACTGAGCTTTTTATTTGTTATCTTCTGGTGCCTAGTAGGACACTGTTTCCCTTCTTCTGGGGTAGCTCTGTAAAAAGAACTTTTATTCACCTGTTTTCAGTTGTTGTCTGGGAGGCTCACTGCCTCCGGCTGCTGACATGGACCCAGTCCTGAAGCTTCTAACCTCTGTACATTGTAACCTAGGCCTAGAATGTTTTCAGTCTCTAAAATTCACTGCTGAATGAGCTCACCCTTTCTAGTTCTCTCTGAGCTCTGGGCTGGCTGGTTCAACTCAGCTGTTCTGGCTCAAACTCCTCTCTTAGCTGACTTATTAAATGTGGCTTCTCTCTCGGCCTCTGAACTGCTGTGCTTGGCCTCAAACTAACACCAGCAATCTTTTTAATCTCCTGGCTTCTTCTCATTCTGTTTCATTCAGTGATTTCCCGAGTTCTCTCCCTGCAGCCTGTCTCTCTATTACTGTCCTGGTAAAAGCTGCCTCTTCTTTCTCTGCATTGCCCCTTAAGTAGTTTCCCTTTCCTCTCTCTTCTCATGAGAGTTGTACATATCCTATTCTGTCAAATCTTTTTTCTGATTTGTTACCTTTTCTGCCACTCACTTAGGCATCACTTTCTACAGACTAACTTTACCTTCATTATTTGGGATTAAAGGCGTGTACAACCACTCCTGGAACAAAGCTTTTCTTTACCTGAAACTTCTAACTTCTATACAACGCTGGCCTTGAACTCAGATCTGCTTGCCTCTGTCTCCTGGATTAAAGGTGTGTTTGTGTTCCAGATGGATCACACAGACCTAGAAGATCTTTGGATGTGCTTCTCTTGCCAAAGCAGCCATGTTCTGAATTTTTACAGTTTCATTTTGTGTGTGTAAGCTCCTATGGTAGTAGATTTCTATATGATGATTTTAAAGGATTTTAGTGTCACTTATTCCTCTCCGTACTATTGCTTCTCCTCAACCCTAACCCTTCCACCTCAGTTAAACCCTCTCTGTTCCATTATTCTCTTGAAGTCCTTAGTATCTACTGAGCTGTATAGACATTCTAGAAGAAACACACACATCTAAGAGTCAAAGCTGACATCCTCAGATGAGGGAAGCATACAATGCTTGTGTTTCTGAGCTGGCTTACCTTCTTCACAATGATTGTTCCCAGCACCGTACATTTAGTTGTGACTTTCATTTTTCTTAAGAGCTGAATAATATCCCATTCATCAGGTGACTGTCTAGGCTGTTTCCACTTACTGGACAGAGCCACAGTGAACGTGGATGAGGAGATAGTTCTAGAGTGGAGTAGAGTTCTTTGAGTGCATTCGCACATTTGGTAGATGCTCTCAGCTTTTTGAGGAGCCACTGCAGCTCCGTAGAGGCTATTTCGGGGCTCTCCTTTTCCCACACACACTGTACCAGAAACTGGCAACCTTTTTAATTTTGTTTCTTTCTTCTTAACCATAGCCATTCTGACCGGGCTGAGAGGAAATCTTAAAGTAGTTTTAAATTGTATTTTCCCTGATGACTAAAGATGTTGAACATTTCTTTTTAAGTTTTTTGGTGTTTGCATTTCATCTTTTCAGAATTTTGTCCTAGCTTGTAACTGGGTTGTTTTAGTTGTTTTTGAATTCCAGATACTAATCCTTTGTCAGACGTATAGCTAGAAAAATGATTTCCCCTCGGTAGGCTGTCTCATCACTTGAGTGATGGTGCCCTTTGTTGTACAGAAAGTTGCTAGTTTTATGATGTCCATTTATTAATTTTTGGTTTTAATGTCTACACTGTTATGTTTCTCTGATTTGTCAGTCTGTCATTAACATATAGGAAGACAGCTGATAATACTACACTAACTTTTATATCTTGTTACTGTGATGAACCTGTGTCTTAGCTCTTAAGAGTTTTTGGATGAGTGTCTTTAGGCTCCTCTGTGTAAAATTACGTCGTCTGCTGAAAGGGATACTTCTTTCGCAGTCTGCACTCCGCTTTGTCCTTTGCTTGCTGTTACTTCAGCTAAGATTTCAATGCTGTATTAAACAAATGTGCAGAAAGTGGACACACTTGTCCTGGGTCTGATCCTAGTTGGAATGCTTTGAGGTTTTCTCTGCTTAGTCTGGTGTTGGCTGTTGGTTTATTGTATACAGCCTTCAGCACATTGCATCTCTAGTTTTTCCATGACATTTAGTATGAAGGCAATATTGGATTTTTCACAGGATTTTTCTGCCTCTGTTGAGATGATTGTGTAATTTCTGTCTTCCAATCCATGTATTGGTTACTTTCCCATTGTGGTAGTAAAATACCATGGCCAAGGCAACTTAAACTAGAAGGAGTTTGTCTGGCTTATGAGTCCAGAGAGATGAGAGTGAATCACAGCAGGGAGGCATAACAGCAAGGTGTCTGCATGAAAGCAGGACCAGGAAGCCAGGAGCTCATCAAAAAGCAAGCAAAGGCTTACAACAGTAAGCGATTAGCCGAGAGAAAAGGCTGGAAGTGGCTGGAGGCCTTTATACTCAAAGCCCCCTCAGTGATGTGCTTCCTTTATGAAGGCTGCACTCTCTGAAGAGCTTCACAGAGAACCAAGTGTTCAAATATCTGAGCCTTTGGGGACAGCCTGATGCAAAATGGATTTAGTTTAACTTTAGAAGTTTCTGTGGTCTTTCACAGTCTGAGCACTGTTTAAAAGTCCACTGTGACTCCGAGATTCAAGGCTGTCTCTTCATTTAGCCCCTGTAAAATCAAAGAGCAAATCGCATTCTTCCAGCATGTAATCTCACAGGGTGTATGTGCAAAGAGGAATGAGGGCATAAAGAGGAAATGTGGAACCAAAGTAAGTACTCAGATGCTGGAGACTGGTAGACATCCCCCCCCCCCCCCCCGGGAAACCACCACAAATTTAACAGAAACACTGCATATCTGGTAGACATTTCCCCAAACCCTGCCCTCCCCCCCGGAAACCACCACGAATTTAACAGAAACACTGCATTATGAAGAAAAGTGACTTGGTATTATTTCAATCCTGTAAGACCCGGAAGACTCCTGCATACGTGGCCTCAACATGGCAAGAAAGCCATTCTGTGTTTACTCAGTGACAACTGAAGCTTTTTCAGAGACTTCTGTGCTCTAAGCAGATTACTCCTGGCACCCAAGTGACTCTTTAGTGTGTTAGTGTCATGAACTGGGATCCACAGGAGCTTTTGGTGTGTATGTGAGGGAAAAGCGTGGTGTAAAGATGCACCTCACTGTGAGTTTTCATTCTGTCCACTGTGGGGTTGGCTAAGGCTACGAAGCCAGCATTCTAAATTCTGGGTCCTATAACTGTAGGAGACAGTTATAAAATTTGGCAATAGTAAGTTTTCTGGGGGCTCAGCAACCAACATAAGTTAGAAAACAAATACTAAATGAGTATGAGACTTTTTGGCAACCCCTGTATTGAACCCTGTTACTTCACTGCAGCCTGGGTTCTCAGCACAGGTCATGCTCTCTTCACAGTAGTACCAGAGATGCTTCATAAACACTTGGGTTCAGAATCAAGACTATTGTGTGTTAGAAACTGTGGTGTTTTACTGGATA